GGTCAGCATAAAAGAGGAAGACTTTCAACAAGATAGATTGACACAGTGGCTGCAACGTTGGGCTCATTTATAACAAGGATTATGAGGATGGCACAAGACCGGGCAGTGTTTCATTCTGTTCTCCATGGGGTTGCTATGAGTTGGAGCTGGCTTGACGACACCTAGCAACAACAACGTGATCTGTAAACTTTTTATCTTTGCATTATCCACATTTAGCACAGTGCCTGGTATATAGGAGGGGCTGGATAACATTTGTTGAATGAATGACTGAATTAATTAACTGATAGCTTAAAACCCTTCATTTTTATACTTTGTGAACTTTAAAATGCCTAAATATATTTTGTTCTCTTGCCAGGGTTAAAACTCATATGTTACTTTTCTACCCACTTGCACAGACTTGTAAGGTCTTCTTTTCAAATCCCATCTGTGTGTTTCTTCATCAGCTGGAAGCATTTAATGTCTCCTTAACTTGGAAATCTCATGTGACTTTTTTCTTCTGGAGCATTTTAAAAAATATATTAAATAAGTATGAATCCCATACACAGCATTTCTCCATCCAGAGGAATCCCCAATTGACCCTACCATTTATTTCCTATTTTACCTGGTTTACAAATTTAAGATAATAGACAACCTATCTATCTTCAAACCGTGGTATCGTATGTGAACACAAAATAGCATAACTACAAACATCATGACAACAATTTTTTTTTGTAGGAGAATGACATTTATTAGTTCCCCTTTTATCCAAGTGCTTATTTACTACATTAGATTTATCATGTGTAATGTGTAATGTCTTTCAGGAGCTCTGGTAGTGTAGTGCCTAAGGCATGTGACTGCTAACCAGAAGGCTAAAGATTTAAACCCACCAGCCACTCCTCAGAAGGAAGGTTGGGCAATCTACTTCTGTAGTGATACCACCTTGGAAAACCCAAGGAGGGGTCGCTCTGAGTTGGATCCAACTCTATGGCAGTGAATTTGGTTTTTTGGTTTAGGGCCCTCAGGAGAAGCAGTCTTGCCTTCTCGATTTCTCTTACTTAAACTCTGCAACCCACCTTCTTTCCCACATTTGCTGTCTTAATATGTTATTTTTGTTATGTTCAGTGAAATAGGCCTTTCTTACAGGCTTCACTGACTTGCTGCTATTTGGTGTATCAGTGATCACCAAGGAATCTGTAATTTCCTTGGGCAGAGATGACAAAGTATTGACTCAAAAGCCAAAACACACTCAAATTTTTAAAATACCAAAGTCCCCACCGCATTAAAGTTACCACAATTTATAGTCAGATATACATAGCCACTATGAGAACAAAAGAAATAATTTTTCAACTTGAGCCTTTGTAATCATTTATGTTCACAGTTATTTTACCTTTGAGGAACTACCTAAACATTGACCCTGCCTTTTTAAATAAAGAAGTATATAACATGTAGGTCACTTCAGAGGGAATTATATAATTATAAAGAGAATTTTCTTTAGCTTTTCTGAATAGTTATACTTTTTATTGTTATTCCTCTGAGGGGCTCTTTATCTTTTGTAAACAATAAGTTATTCATCCTTTAAGTTTACACTGTGATGACATAGGTAGTGCTGTAAAACTGCGGAGGACATGAAAATCACGAAGCCCATTACAGAACAAAAGACAGTCCACCAAGTTTGGTAAATTTAAGGAATAAAATAATTTCTTACAATTTCCATGATCTTTTTATTGTTTTCAAGTATTTACCATTTTTTGATTTGCTATTACTCAGTCCCATGAGAGTTGGCAAAGTCTTATTATCCTCATTTTTACTGGTGGAAAAACAGACATTGAAAGATGAGAAAACTTGCCCTGCTCGTAGTACTAAAGACAGAGAAGATACTAGAACTCAGACCAGAAATATAAGGGAGAAATCGTTGCTAACTAAGGAAATCACAAAATGTCTTTTCTTGGGTAATTAGTGAGTGTGAACAATGGGTTGACAGCTACTTCTAACTGTCCTCCCTACATCCTATAACAAAATTAATCTCCTCCAAAGCCCTGCATGAAGTAGCAGACAACCTTTATTTTCAGAAGGGAAGGAACTACAAATATAGTAGCACAAGCCATTTATTAACCTCAGGCAACATTATCCCCAGATAGCAGCGTCTTGGGAAAAAAGCATGGAGTTTGCAATCAGAAGTCTTATGGTTACATCTCAGTTTTACCAGCCCCTTAATCTCCTTACACTCAATATCTGTTTTGTTAAAATGGGCTAATAACACCAGCCTTACTCCCTTATAGGCTGTTGTGATGATTAATAAGATACTTTATAAGAAGACTCCCAACGAGATGGATTGACACAGTGGCTGCAGTGTTCAGTTCAAGCAGAGCAAGGATTGTGAGGATGGCTCGGGACCGGGCAAAGTTTTTTTCTGTTGAACATAAGGTCACTATGAGTCAGAGTTGACTTGATGGTACCTAAGAGCAACATGCAAACACAAGTCCTTGTTATAAGGAGCTTGTATAAGGAGCTCTGGTGGTGCAGTGATTAAAACATTTGGCTGTTAATCAAAAGGTCAGTGGTTCAAAACCACCAACTGTTCCACAGGAGAAAGATGAGGATTCCACAAAGATTTACAGCCTTGAAAATCCTTGGGGCAGTTCTACTCTGTCCTATAGGGTTGCTATGAGCTGCATTTGACTTGATGGCACTGAGTTTTTGTAACTGTATAGAAAATATGGTAAATGGTTTCTGTGAAGGGAAAGAGTATAACATAGTTGTTGGACTCAGGACTAAGGGGTCACACTGAGTAGTTGCAGTATAAGAAATGGCACACAGGGAAGAAAGACACAGGAAAAGGTAACCACAGGGAGGAAGTGGGAGGTAAGCTATTACATTGCAGGGAATGTAACCAGTGTCATACCCATACGCACAAAATGTGTATGAACTATTGACTATAAAACAAATCTGTTATGTAAAATTTCACTCAAATCACAATAAAAAGTTAAAAAACAAAAAAGGATGTAATAGAAGAAATATTGGGCATTTCACAGTTACGTCATAGGAAGTCTTGCAGGTTTTACCTGGGACTATGCTGGCTCTTGGGACATGACTTCTTGGTTAGTCACTCTTGCAGCACAGTCACCATGCTATGTGGGTCACAAAGCACAAGGAGAGGCCACGGTGTTGGCAGTTGGCTTGGCAGACTCGGGTAAGCTCTATTCAACAACCAACATCAATTGTCAGCCACGTGAGGGAGTTTATCTTGGTCATCCTGCCCAATCAAGCCATCAGGTGACCACCATCCCAGCTAGCATCTGACTGCAGCTGCATGGGAGACCCTGAGAAGAACTACCCACTTAGGCCTAGTTGACCCACAGAACTGTGAGATATAATAAAAAAATTGTTATTTTAAGTCACTTAGTATTGGGGTGATTTGTTACATAGCAAAAATAACTGTAACACCCATGTGCTCCTGTGGAGAACTGTTGCTCTTAATGATGTATTGAGAAAAGGAAATAATTAAAGTTAATAAATTTCAGATAAGCACTTCAGACCAAAAATTTACTACCTATGTTGTATCTGTTATAAAAATTACTACTGAAATTTTTACAAAGTTTAGGCATATTGTGATTTGAGGATTTTTACCTTCATTTAGAAATCAGTAAGACTACAGCTGGCCTTCATTTATATCTTACTGCCACTGTCACTTCACAGAAATGCTTTTTCCAACCACCCAAGCTAATAAAGCAGCATTCTACCCTCAAGTCAATATCGATGACATTTCAGTTTTGTGTTCCTTTATAGCATCTGTTATTACCTGAAGTTGTTTTGTGCATTTGTTTACCTTACTTATTGTTTGTGGAAACACTGTCCCATTCAAATAGAACAGAAAGTTCAGGGCAATACAGATCTTGTTGGATTGTTTATATCAGTATTCTCAGAATCTACCACAAGAGCTAGCATGAGCTACTACTGTCAACCACTTGGAAGAGGATCTTTGTAGGAGATCCTGGATAGATAGGGGGATCAATGTGGAACAAAACTCAAATTCATTTGGAAAAAAAAAAGAAAAAGTGGGGAACAGGTTTACTGGCCCAATGGAGCCTGGTGGAACCACTGGACTATGGCCCCTAGCTGTCCTTCGGGTCTGGAATTGAACACACACCTGTAGCTTCCAGCCAAGCAGTAGACAGGCATACTAGTTGAGCATATATCTGAGGTAGATACACTCCTTGGAGAGAACAAGTAAGAGAGAAAGAAGGGCTGCTCAAGCACAGGGAGACAGGTCAGGGGGTAGGAGTGTGTGGAGGGATGGTCACAGGGAAGTGGTACCTATCAGGAGGAAGTGGGAGAGGAGATGTTGCATTGTGCTAAATTGTGGTCAATGTCATGAGACAAAGTGCATGTGATCTGCTGTATGGAAAGTGTATTTGCTCTGTAAATTTTCACCCAAATCACAATGAAAATAAAAATTAAAAAAAAAAAAGAGCTAGCATGAGTTAAATGTTCAACAACTATTCGCTGAATAAATGTTAAAGAAAGGCAGAGCTAGGATTAATTTATTTATTAATAAGTATTTCTGAAAAAGATTGGAAAAAGAACACAGTGGTGGGAGGTTCAATTTAGTGTTCTTAACTCAGTTTATTTAATGAAAGGTTAAATGCAATTATCAGCATTTATGGAAATAGGTAATCAGCATCCCTGTAATTCAAGCTCTCTTATAAGCTACTTAATAATGTGAATGCCAGAGTGTTTTTTATGACTTAAAAAGATAAGACTGAGAAATGAAAGATCTACTCAGCTTTTATACATCTGCACCATTGTGACCTTTATTTGCTAGTTGGCTCACCTTTTCTATTGTAGAACTTTTAAGAGAATTTGAAGTACTGTAGAAATAATTGATGCCCCTGATTGTCACTTGGAACTGACTTCTTAGTTTCTCCCTCCTTTTCAATTATAGTGAAGGAAAAATGGAGCTTCTGTATGTCTTTCCTCCATTACCTATTGTAAGAAACTGCTCTCTTTGTTTCCTTTCCCAGGACTTAAAATCTGCAAACCAGAGGGATGAAATCGCAGGCGCCCGGGCCTCACTGAAGGAGAACTCCCCTCTCTTGCATTCAATTTGTTCAGCTTGTTTGGAGCATTCTGATGTTGCTTCTCTCAAAGCTAGCAAGGACACAGTTTGTGAAGAAATTCAGAATGCCCTCGATGTGATTTCAAATGCTTCACAAGGCATACAGAATATGCCGGCTCCAACAGAGCCTCAGGCAGCAACCCTGGGAAATGCCCTTGAAGAACTTGAGGTAAGTTGAGCAAAGGGGAAAATGGGACTTGATGTCCCAACTTGAAAGTAAACAGAAGTGGTTTTCAGATCCATGTGATACAGTTTAGAGCATGAGAAAATAAAATGCCAGTTCTCCTTTGCCATTTTCTTGTTTCTTCCGATGAATTGTTGAGTGGATTTCTTTATACTGTGTCCTTTATACTTCTATCAAGGAAGCCAGTGAATATTATTAAGATGTTAATTAGACATAAATGATGACTTTATTTTCTATACATCAACTATAAAATATTGGATTTATTCATTCCACAACTAGTTATTATTGCCACTAATGTATGTGGTTGGGGACTATCAGACTGCTGCCCTTGTGAAGCTCACATTCTAGCAGGAGAATACAGGTGAAAAGCAAAAACAAACAAAAAAACATGTATAAGTAAATTGTATGTTACTTTGAGAAGGTGAGTTGTTATCAAAGGCTTGCAGGAGACCAAGGAATCAGTCAGATGGAGATGTTGAGTGAAGGCTTGAAGGCATGCCCCAGTGTTTAAGTGACAGCATAGAAACCAGGGTGCCTGGGTGGAGAGAACAAAGGGGAAAGCAATGGGAATTGAGGTCAGAGAGCCAATAGGACCAAGTCAAGGCTGATTTTTACTAAGTTCAATGAGGATCCGTGGTAAGGCTTTAAGCAGAGTTGTGACATACTGAAAGTTGTGTGTTAAGTGTATTACATTGGCTGCAGTATGGAGGAATAGTGAGAGAAGCTGAACACTTGTAGTAAGTCAGGTGAGAAATGAGAAACTCAGGTGGTTTAGACCAAGGTGACATGAATGGAGGTGGACATTATTAGTAACATTAAGGCTATATTTTGAAAGTACAGCCAAGTGGATTGGACTTGGATGTGAGGACTGAGACAAAGGGAGGAGTCATGGCTGGTGTCTCATGCTGGGTGCTTCAGGAGCTAGACAGTGGGCAGTGTTTGGGATACAAACTAATACAAAAGGTATTACTAGGGATCAACAGCTGTGGAGGGAAGGGGAGGAAGCAGGCCTGGACAGAAGAAGAAGTCAACCTACCATCCAGGCCTTGAAGCTTCAACCATCTGCAGGAGTTCTGGAGAGAGCTTGTCCTCCAGAGTGTGCTACATCAGGTAGAAATGGCCAACCCTTTATTCTGCCATCTGTTTTGGTCACCTGCCTGGGGAAATGTTCAGGCTGCAGGCTGTCCTGGGAAAGGTGTGACCTCAGGGCCAGTAGAGGGTCACTCTCTAATGCTGTGATATACCCTGAATGACTTGTCTGATGGCTATACTCCTCAAAGCTGAGCAGCAAGGTGTATCTGGAAGAGGCATTTGAGCTGTGTGTCTCTGTGCCTAGCACAGATACTTACAAGTATTTGGATGACATTCTTATCAATAGTGATGGGAAGATATGTGAAGCAAGTTTTGGGAAGAATATCACAAAGTCAAATTTTGGACATGTTGAATTTGAGATATTTATCAGGTGTTAAGGTCTGATGTCAAAGATCACTAGCTACCGAAATCAGACAAATAATTGCTTAGTGAATGGGAGACAGCATCATGCAGCACTTAAGGATTAGGGCTTGGAAACCCAGATGCCTGGATTCCTGTCTCAGATATGGTACTGGTAAATGTGACCTGGGGAAAGTTATTAATATAACTTCATAAATTGGAATAATAATAGGACTAACAATCATAGTAATATGGTCGGTATTAGTGAATGAATAATATATGTTAAAATGCTTAAGGAACCCTGATGGGACTGTGCTTAAGTGCTTGGCTGCTAATGGAAAGGTTGGTGGTTCAAACCCACCAGCTGCTCTGTTGGAAAAAGATATGGGTCTACTTCTATAAAGATCTCAGCCTTAGAAATCCTATGGGGCAGTTCTGCTCTGTGCTATAGGTTCTCTATGAGTTGGAATCAAGTTAATGTCAATGGGTAAAGGTTAAAATGTGTACAGCAGTGCCTGTCAGTTAATCAGCTCTAAATAAATCTCAGCTCTTATTACCATTGGTGAAGATGAATATTTAGAGGCAGAGTCTTCTATAGTGGAGAAATAAATACATTTGGAATTATTAAAGTTTCACTAATAGCATAAAAAATGCAGATACATAATACCTGTTATTCCAAACACTATTATTTTCATAATAAACTTATTAGATACTTAATTAAAGTTTAGAATAACTTTTCAATATACCTTTCCTTAGTTGCATGTTTTTAAACTGATGTCTTCTTTTTCAGTTTATCATGATTACATTCCTATTTATTTGCATCTGTGGGAAAATTTATAAAAATCCTAATTATTGGCACCTATGTGAAAAGTTTAGGAAATATTTGTCTATATAAGGTATAAGAGTAGTCATGGCTGTCTAATAATGCCATGGTGTCCAGTTGTTTGCCCTGTGTAATTAGCACTCAATAATCTTGTCTACTAGTTGTGTAATTTGTTTTCATATTAAGGTTGAAAACTCCTTGAGTGCAAGGACTATGCTTCTTATTAAGATAATACCAGTGATATTAGTAGATACGGTGGCATAGTGCATATGGTGGCATTTGAGTGCTAACCAGAAGACTGGCAGTTCAAACCCACCAGCCACTCCTCAGAAGGAAGATTGGGCAGTCTACTTCCATAGTGATACTGCCTCAGAAACCCAAGGAGGGGTCGCTGTGAGTAGGATCTGACTCGATGGCAGTGAGTATTTTTTTGGTGCTGTTAGCACCAAAAACAGTTGCAGTAGAGTTGATTCTGATCCCATGTGTGTCAGAGTAGACTTGTACTCCATAGGCTTTTCAATGGCTGGTACTTAGGATGTAGATCACCAGGCTTTTCTCCTGAGTTGCCTCTGGTTGAACTTGAACTTCCAAACTTACAGTTAGCAGTTGAACACGTTACCCATGGCTTTTTAAAGTCCTGAACAAATTAAATATGTAACTTTTTTTTTTTTTTAATTTGTAAGAGATTTACCATGAATTTTATTGTATAATTATTACAGTGTCCCTATATGGTAAGGAATTTTTATTTTGGTTTACAGAAAATAACAATGAGATTTATATAGATTATAATTTGCTTTAGTCAGAAAGCTAGTGAGTGTCAGCAGTCAGGATGTGAATCTAGTTTCTCTGAGTCCAGAATTATCATCTACGGTGTTATATTGAGTTCTTATAGATAAAACTTAATTTGCTTAATTAAAATTCAATACAATTTATGCTAAGATTCTTAGTCTACAGGCACCATCAGAGACATTGAAAATGTAGCGAAGTCCAAAATGTGGAATAACCTCTTGGTAAAAAGAATTTTGTCCCTGGGTCATTTAAATGGAAATAGCCTATATTCAAGGAGCTCTGGTAGCAAAGTGCCTAAGGCACTTGACTGCTAACCAGAAGGCAGGCAGTTCAAACCCACCAGCCACTCCTTGGAAGGAAGGTTGGGCGATCTACTTCCGTAGTGATACTGCCTCGGAAACCCAAGGAGGGGTCCGACTTGACGGCACATAACAACAACAACAAGTCTATATTTAGAGAGTAGGTAGTGCAGTGAGGTAAAATGTGCAAGGGTTGACAGAAAGGCTGGTATACCACATTCTTCATGAGGACTAGACAGAATTGTGTCAGGGTATGCTTGCAAAAAGGGTCAAGTTTATGCCAGGCACTACATCATATATTTTTAGGATTATAGAAGAAGATAGATTTCCAGATTGTCCCTTCTTCTGGGACCTGTTCCTTTCCCTTCTTTTAGTTAAGAGTGACTGCTACAGGGAAATGTGGCCACTATAGGCAAGAAAGGACAAGTTAGAAAGGAGGAGAAAGTGTGTGTCTGTGTGTGTGCAGTTTAGATGACAGTGAGGTGTGGTGATGGGTAAAGAAGCAGTGATGGTGTTCTCCCTATTCCAAGAAAGGTCCTCTATATGGCATACTCTCTTCTGAACAATGCCAAAAGGAGTCCTGTCTCAACAACCTTTGAAATTCAGTTCCAGTCAAAGCCGTGAAAGCACAGACTAGTACAAAACGCTTGAGTAATATATGTTTTTCATATGTGAGTTACAAATAGCTGCCAAGACTGTCTGAACTAGATAAAGCAAAATTTATTGAGGATTTAACCTTTTTTAATGATTTTGTAAATTAAATGGCTGCACTTTTCTTTATTTACAGAAAACTGTATTGGTAAAGTATCCAAAATAACCTTTGCTCTTTCTCGTCCCTGCAAATATAATACTATGAAATAAATTGATATAGTAAATACTGGGTTAGGAGCAAGTCTCATTAAATGTTTATAGTGTGGAAACATATCAAAGCGCTTACTCAACAACTACCATACGGAGGCTTTGTTAAATCTTTCATTCTGGCTCATGGCTGCTTGTGGGTATGAAACCTGCAATTTATTGGTGGAGAAAATAGAAGTTGAATTAGAACACTGTGCAAGCTGAATCGATTGATTTATTGTAAAGGATAATGTGAATTATAGAGTGTTCCTTCTCCGTTTGTGACCGAATAAGAACAGAGAAGTGTCAACTAATAGATTAAAGGAATTTTAAAAATGTCTTTAAGCAAGAAACTTTGCCACTGAAAATTGCTTTGAAAATTCAAACTCCATTAAGACATACTTTTTTCCTGTGCAGAGGAAAAAAAGTCTGCTATCATCGTGGTCCACAAGAATTATTGGGATTTTCATGTGATAAAGATGATAATAACAAAGGTCACAAATGTAGATTTTCTTATTTTCAAAAAGCTATTATATTTATTTTCTTATGTTCTTTTTTTTTTTTTTTTTGTCAAATCATTTGTGTACTATCATTTATCTGGTGTTGAGTGACTGGAGTTCAGACGTGTGCCCTGTACACAAGTAAGTGCTAAGTAAATAGT